TATTGTTCCAATATTTTCAAGCCAATATAATGCTTTAAAAGCTGAAAAGCTTTTGCTTTTTGCTACATTAAAGCTTTTGTGGGGTGATATAATCTAATGAGGTGAGAAAATACTCAGGCCGATAAATGCCCAGGCATAACCACTTTGGCCAAAGGGCAGTATAAAAGTTAGCTCAAGTCTCACAGCTGTCAGAAGTCAGCAGACATCCAAGAGTTCATAAAAATGAAGTTTAACATGTCAGGGAAGCAGTCCGTTCATTTTCAGTGCCAGTAAAGTTCTGTGTAAATACATTTGACCTGAAACAGAGAAAATTAATTGCTTTTGTATAAATGAGTCAAATTACTTAACAGGAAAAATACAGATATCTTCAGCAATAATTATAAGTGGCAATGTTTGAGTACTCACTCATTTTGAATGGCACTTAGCTCAGGCCTCTGACAGGAGTTACATGCTGCCAAATACGGTTAAGGGAAGGGAAGCTTTGGGTTAAACTCCTTGCTTCTCTCTCCATGATAGATGCATAACTTGGAGTGTCCAGAGGCCTGAGCTCCCAGTTATTTACACACTCAGATTCCTAGATAGGTTGGGTTTTGTGTATGGTTTTAAAGTCAGGCAGATAATAAGTAATATCACCAACACAGGGTTGGTGGCTCATATGATACTGAAATAAGATTAACATAATCTTCTCTCTGGCTGGTGGGTTTAGAGTGAGTGATGTTTGAAGAAACTTGGATGGATAGTAGAAATGGTCTGGGATTGGTTCTCCCTGTAGCTAGCTCTTGGTGAGACATTTATTTTAATGTAATCTTTTCACATATACTAATGGAGAGTTAGGATTTGGTATTTGCTAGAAATCTGAGACGTGGTATACATGTTAGCCTATATACTTTAGTAATCAGTGAAAGGTATCCATTATCATAGACTGTGGTAATCCCTCTATAAACACACAGTTCTGATTTACATATAACTATACTCAGATAAAATTAAAGCCACAAATCAAATCATTCTAATTGAGGAGGCATGGATGAATGAGTGTCGGCATTATAATTCAGCTGTTAAAATCAGATCTGTTCAGCTGGTGGTGTTAAGTATGTGTCAGCCATTCCAGTATTTGACTGGGAGACAAACTGGTAATTTCTGGTAGAGCACAAGCTAAGAACCCAGGAACAAATCATTCTGGAGAAATCCTTGATGAAAGCTCAACCTCAGACACGGATGGGGTTATCCCACCAGTTGCCTAAGCAGAAGAGCATACTGCTTCCCTGTCTGGCTGGGGAAGCACAAAATAGAATTAAGCTGAGCAAAAGTTCCAGAATTAAGATCTCTTCAAATGCCTCAAGTGTACTAATTATAGTGATTTTTCAGCCCAATATAGCCCATTGCCACGGCACTGTTTCCATACAACACAACCTGGTTAAGTGCAAATTGCTTCATTTCAGAGGAATTTCTACTTCTCTGGCTGAACATAGCAGACATAAAATCATGTTTATCCAAGAAATCAGCCAAGAAACTATTCAAAAAAATGCAAATGTTCAGATTCCTGGTCTAGTTCCCTAACTTCCCCATTAGCACCCATCCTCTATTTTGATGCTTTTGGTTAGATTCTTGTCTTTGAACTCCCACCTTATGGGGGTACTGATCCCTTTGAAATACTTACTTGGTGGCCTACTCATCTTTAAGACTAGGGCTTTATAGCCGTAAAGTGTAGCAATCTAACTACAAACAAAAGCATGAAAGCAACTATCTGTCCTTATTTGACATTCTGACAACCAAATCAACACTATACTCCATGTCAATTTTACAAAAGTGTGATGTGTGCTGGTAAAGCAAAGTTTGAGCTCACAGCCCTGAGTCCTGAGTGGAGCCTTGCCCATGTAAGAACAAAAATGAGACAATCTCTCTCTGTTTGGACCACTTGTCTGCGCTAGAAAGGTAAAAGAATGTTACTAAAATGACATTAAACATTATGCTTGTATTCAGCATAAATAGGCACTATCATATTTAATAGAAGACAAGTACTGGGAGATGTCTGCAGGCTTTATGGCAGGTTTGTTTAATAAATACCCTCCAATTTCTACAGCTTTTCTCATCTTTCCTAACAGTTCGTGAGTTAGGTATAGAAAGCCCTCAGAGCAGGATAAGGCTTTATACCAAGCACTGCTGAGCACATGCAAGCAGAAGCAGCTGGTTGGGATGCACTTGGACACTGCATGATGAGGACTGTCTTCGCTGTCTGTGGTAAGATCTGATTTCATTGCAGAGATTATTTACAAAAAGGAAGCCAGCCCTTCACCTTTATGCCTGTTGAAGCCAAATTTTCTTCTTATTCTTCATTTATTGATCACAGCATGTTTTGTTCTAAAATTATGTGTGCCATAAATATATGCCAAGCCTCTTGACTCACCATAAAAAATCCTCTTGTTTCTCATTGACCCCCAGCTGAAGCCTCATTTTTAACTCTATGAATCACTGTGGACACTTAACCTATTTCTTTTTCTGCATGTAGGAAGCCCAGGATCTTGAAGCAGGAATTTAATTTGTTCAATAAAAGTATGGCTCATTAACATGGCTGGGTGCTGATATATCCATTGAGCTGCACCTTACCCAACACCTACGAAATGAAATGTACACCAGCAAAGAAAGTTCTGATTGAAGGAAGGCGAGTGTGTTCCTAATATGACACACTCATCTATTAGAAATTTTAAACACTTTTTCCCATTCCTCCCTCATGCTGCACAGTCACTGATAAAATACTATTTTCAGTTTGGTAATAGGTTGTACAGATTCTTTTAGTGAAACTTGTATGAGTTAGTTTTCATCTTGTCTTTAAGTGTAAGCCTTACTTGAAGCAAACAAATAACTCCACAGGCTTCATGGAACCAACATGTAGGCAAAATGTGCTGAGGGAAAGCACAGAGTGCATTTAGGGTGCTCTGGAAAAGGTGAGGTAAAGATAAAAGGTAAAGTAGAAGGTCCTTTATTTTGTGTGAAAAGGAGGAAGGAAAGGTTCAGGTAGCATCCAGTATTTTATGTCAGGGAGAGGTAGATTTTACCTGCCCAACATGACCACACACACTTTTCCTTATGCTATTGCAAAAAATTTTCACTTCTAAACTCAGATATATTTAAATACTTAGAAAAGGGCTATGATTTAACAGGCTATGTGGGACAGAAGTGGGAATTTAGGCAGGTAATGAGTAGCCTGAGAAAGAAAGCAGAAGACTATGCCTTTCTTACCAGGCAGGGAAGGCCAGTTGCAGTGAATATTACTAGCAAACTGGTAACCATTTAGTAGTATTCTACTAAAAATTGTAGCAAATACTTAGGATTTAAAAGTATTAGTATCTAACATGCTAGTATTCAAAAAGATAGTAACAAACAGTGGATCTGGAATGGCTCTCCAAGATTCCGTGTTTCTGCAGCAGTGGAGTTATTTGGGTGTAAAATCTGCAATGAACATGGAAACAGAAACACTGTTGGGGAGCAATAATTTTTAGTTTGGTTAAAGTGAAGTGTCAAAAGACAGAAGGAAGATAATTAATACAAAAATGTGCAATCTTTTAGAGTATCTTTACTTTCTAGCATTTTACTGCCTGCCTCTGATGGGCACAGCTCACAGTACTGGGGCTCTGCTTTCACATTTCTGCAACCATGCTGGCTTCAATGAAACTACACCAAACAGGAACCTGCTTCTTGCTGCCATCAAAAATAAAATGTCGTCCTCCTTTACTCAGAGCATTTAACAAATGCACAGAGTCCTTTTACTCTGGGATTGCATGGGCTTGGACAGAATCAGAGTCACTGTGAAAAGAGGTACAGGCTTCCTGGAACCCTGTATCTCTGCATTACTGAAAGGTTGGGAGGACTTGATAAAAGAGACCATAATCACAAAATTCACTGTATTTTGCTTTAGCTCACACATAGGGTAAAAAAATATACAGCCAGAGGGAATTATCTCTTTGAACACTATCCTGTCTTGAAATTCCCATTTTCAGTCAAGACGAATGAGAAGCTGAGAGCTGAGTGCCTGCTCTAGCTATGCCTGACCTCTTGACAGCTCCCCACTCAGATTATTGCACCAAGGGGCTGTGATGAGGCAAAGACGTCTGCTGCTCCCAGGGGAAGGAACAAAGTGTGAACTAATGGTGCTGGGGTCACTCAGCTGCTCCTGTGCCTCTTTACGTACTTGGGACGCACAGCTGTGGAACTAAAGAGGTCACATGAAGCCTGGCTCCCCTTTCCTTCTCTGCAAGAAAGCAGGTGCATCTCCTCTCCAACTGCTCTGAGATGCTGAGATATTCCCACCAGGAACAGTCCTGCCATAATCCTTTTAATGCACAGCGCAGCCAATGGGGGACATTACGAGATAAGGGGGGCTGCTGTGCCAATAATACCTTCTGCAGCTTCTTATGTCTTACATCACACATAGAGTCATTGCCTCCCAAACAGCTCTACTGTGTATGTTAGACATTGGACAACTGGATATGTATTTGCTTTAGTAGGCCCAAAGGCTATAAAAAAGAAGTTGGCAGGACTCTGCCTTTCTCAGTCTCAGTTTTGATTAGAAAGCATTGCTCTCAAAGAAAACTAGGAAATATTTTCCAAAACCCAGATGATTAAATCAGGAGAATAGAGAATCACCTTTCTGTTCTGAGCAGCTCTATGTCATAGAATCACAGAATTGCTTGGGTTGGAAGGGACCTTAATGATCATCTAGTTGCAACCCCCTGCCATAGGCAGGGACACCTTCCCCTAGACCAGGTTGCTCCAAGCCCCGTCCAACCTGGCCTTGGACGCTGCCAGGGATGGGGCAGCCACAGCTTCTCTGGACAACCTGTGCCAGGGCCTCACCACCTTCATAATGAAGAATTTCTTCCTACATCTAATCGAAATCTACCCTTTTTCAGTTTAAAGCCATTAAATTTGTTTACTGCCATACGCACTTTGAAATGAAACAAGAGGTGTTTGGCTTTCCTTATTTCACATGAAGGTAAACGTAAGAGGATGCCCTGGGACTTGTTCAATATGAAAGTTCACATCCCATCAGATTAGAAGGCAAACTTTACTTCCCAAGCTGCCACAAGAAGAAACATTTTCCAAACACCAAGTAAGCCCTACCACAAAACTGAATGTTCCATTTGAAGTGAAAATCCCAGCAGCTCCGTCGCTTCTCCTTGCGCAGCCCCTTCTTACCCTCCCTCCTGTCTGTCACCTCTTCTAGGAAACCAGCTTTTACGGGGGGTTACAAAGGGAGGGAGTGACTGATGCCGGACTCCGACAACCTCCCGCGAGCGGGGTTTTCCCGCTCACACCGGTCCGGGGGCGCGGCGGCGGGAGCGGTGCGCGGGGCCGCCCCGGCGCCCATTGGCTCTGCGGCGGCCCGGGCTCGACGCGGCCCCATAAAGGCAGCGGGTCGGTCCGTCCGTCCGCTCGGTTGCAGCTGCCCAGCCATGCCCTCTCCGCCGCACGTCCTGCCCTGGCTGCTCGCCGCCTGCTGCCTCTGCGCCCTCCCGCGGGGCTCAGGTACGTCCCGCCCCGGCACCGAGAGAACACATAAGAGACCCCACCCGAACCTCCCCTCGAGGGGCGCCGTCGGGGCTGGGCACCGCGGCTTCCCCGCTCAGCCGTGTCCCCCCGTGCCGTGTCCCCGCAGGGTTCCCCCAGCCTTTTTCGCTCTCCTGGGACGGTGCGGACTTGCCCAAAAGCCAGGTAGGTCTGTCTTTGCCTTCCCCGCCCGAAAGCGGTGCGCGGTGGAAGGGCAGGACAGAGACCGTCCAGCCCGGGCTGGCCGCGGGAGGTGGGAAATGAGACTCGCTCGCGGCAGGGAAATGAGGTAGGGAATTGGCAATGGGCTGGAAATACGTCCTGAAATCCCTTGGCGTGGGGGTTGGGTGATGGGTGATGGAGAGAGCAAGGAGGCTGAAACCCTTTGCTACTCGCAGAAGGAGGTGAGACAGGTGCGAGCACAGTGGGATGTGCAGAGTAGGATACCTGTGTCAGCAAAAACTGGGCAGACTAATAACCACCCAGTCCTGGCTCCCTGAGCTAAAAAGCATGTCCCAAGGTATGACAGACCTAGTGTTAATGTCTTTACTTTTTTTAAAGCAGCTGGCATTGTGTTTCAGTCAGTGGATGGAACTGTCTAATCAACCCCAGGTAAATTGACTTTGGTAATGTGTTTGATCTGCTGGGACTCTCCCTTCCAGACATACTAATTGCGCTGTGTAACCCTTAGCATCGATGTCTGCAGGTGGAAGAACCTCCTTCAGAGAGCTGGAGGCTCTGGAAAGCAGAGTGACTTTGCTGGTGTATGTGCTCATCTCCCTGCAGAGTTAGCTCAGACCTAGGCAAAGAAAAAAGTGCTTTTATTCCCATCACAGTGGTAGCTAGCACTGGGGCAAGAAGTAGTGCTACTCAGTGCAGCAGGAGTTACGGGCAGGGTCCTGCCTGGTCCCAGCTTGGTGGTGGTGGGTGGATGGTTTTTTTCCAGGGTGCTCAGGGGGCAGGGGAGGGAGAGGAAGTTTTCACAGTTCATTTCTGCTGTGGTGTCTCTGGCAGAGAGCTTGCAAATGGTTTAAAAACACCCTCAGTACCTTTGAAAGATCATCGCTGTTACAGATGATACCCAACCCAAGGGTCATTTTCAAAGGGGAGAGAAAAGTCTGCAAGATCAGGAATGATCTGGAAACTTTGAACATTCTGTGCTGAATTTTTCTTCCTGAAGTCTTTCAGTCTTGTAAACCAAAGCTTGTGGAAAATAGTTCCCAGAACCAGTTATTCAGGTATCTTACGTTTTCTTTCTTTGGAGCTGTAGTTGCTTCCTATCTAATAGGATTGCATGCATCGGCAATCCCTGTCCTGTGGCAGTGAGTATGGGACAGTACTTTTCAGTATACGATTAAAGATTATAATCCTGATTGTCTGAAATGGTTGTGAAAGAAAATGTGTATAGATTAAATATGCCAAACCCCAAAGCTTTTTTTACAGCATAGAAAGATGTATTTTAAGTGTAAGAGGCTGATTTAGATCTTTATAGAACAAGACTGTTCACAACATTTGTAGGTCGTGTGCATTCTCCTCATAAAAAAATACTAGATTTCCAGCTCATAATAGCATCATAAGTCTTTCCCTGCTCAGAGTGGTTTTAGTGGAACTGTGTTTGATCTAAATCATGCTGGGATCAGGATCAAGCCTATTCTTTATCAAACTACACCACATCCTCTCCGTAAGTGTATTGTATACTGTTTGGTTTTGCAGATCTCCAGCACTGTTTTGGATCTCTGTTATTCCATATTCAATAGTATGCAAACAAATGAGGTAAGGTATATTTGTTTCTTTTATTTCAAAGCACCTCTTTCTTAACCTTAAAAAGCAGCCCCTCCAAACCCAACTTTTGGACATTTCTCTCCAAACAATAATGTAGAATCTAATAGTGTCATGGTTTAGGAGCTGTAAGATAGTATAGAAAAGATCATTTCTTCTTGTTAGTAGCTTGCATGTAATTCTCAGCTCCATTAATCTGTACATGAAATTGCTGTTTTTCAGAGCTCAAGAACCAAAACATCCACTTACACCTGGGGTTAGTATTTTAACCTGTCACTTTTGACTAATACAGGGTTAAATATGTTAAAAATATGCATCACATTGGATCAACAGCATATTTAATATCATGCTAAACACAGTTTGGGTTAGGTTGGAAGGGACCTTAAAGATCACCTAATTCCAACTCCACTGCCATGGGTAGGGACACCTTCCATTAGACCAGGAGGAATATGAGGCGTAGTATGCCCCCACTAGAACATGGAGGCATATGCCTTGCTTTACTGACCTTAATACTCTGTTTGAACTTGGGTTTTTTTTGTGCTTCTGACTCGCATCCAAAAGATTAAGTTGATTAAGAGTGTAGCTCTTTCTTATTAGTGCAGACATATTAGGACCTAGCTCAGTGTCAGTTCTGCTTTATATAACTTTTTTATCGCCACCGGTTTATTAAGAGCCTTTCCCATAAAATTCAGTCAGCTCCTGGGTATGTTAAAAAGGCCAATTTACTTGTGGAGTTTGAGTCCTCTGTTGTTTCAAATCACAAGCAGAGCCTTCAAGACAACAATAAAGTATTTTGACATGTACTTCAATATCTCTTCTTGCCAGCATGCTTTCCTAAAGCAGCCATAAAACTCTACAGTACTGAAGCTGATTGTATAAAGAATTCCAGCATTTCAGTCTTAAATGTCTACTAAATGTTTTTGAGTTCAATATTGCTTCCTATGCTTCTGCAGCTTGGCTAATGAGGGGACATTCAGAATCATCCAGTAACTTTAATTGGAGCCCTATTCCTGGTTACTATTTTAGTTATTAACTTTGCAAAAAATTCACACTCTGTGCCCTCAAGATTGGGAGCTAAAACTGATACAGTTTTCTGTTGAGAGATACAACTAATATCAGCTCTATATCTGCAATATGATTTCTAGGTGTGGTCTGATTAAGTGGCAGATCAAATGTATGTGTGCAATATGGAAAAATGACTATGCCAAATAGCACGTTTTACCCAACTGGTTAAATCTCCTATTACATGAAGTTGTACTTTCTCTCTCAGTCCACAAGGAATATTGAGAAGACACTGTAGACATGGGTCTGTATGTAGCACACCCGATGAAACAGTTATGAAATCCTACTGGTTTTAGCTGGACTTAAACTTTCTACATGAGCCTATATTTATGTGGATCTTTTAAAACAAATTTGGTTCATTAAGTTATAGATTATGTAGAGAAAATAGATGGTGTTTCAAGAGAAGAAATGAGGCCTCAGAAGCAGAAAGGCAAAGTCAATGGCAATTTGGGTGTTAATGGGACTTGAATTCCATCTGGAGAATTTAAAATCTTTTGGGAGAAATAATAGACTGTTTAACTTCACTGTCTAATTTTTGGGTAAATCTTGCAGATGGCACTTTCAAAAGAATAAAAAAGAGCTATCTAAATGTGGCTGCTACACAGTCATCTCTGTAAGAGTTTCAAATTTCCATCCTAAAGTCAAGCCAACACACTGTTTAGAAGCTTAGTTTTTGCCATGTAAACTCTCACCTGTTAGAAATTAGCTGGGATATTTGAAACTGCAGGCTAAGTCATGAGTCAGTCTCTATCTTTGCGTGGTATATAATAATAATTTTGTAACAAAACTAGCATTCACACTATCTCTTTGCTTTAGTCTCCTCCTTTGCATCCTTTAAAGCACCTTGATTGAGCACTTTTTTCTTTCATTGTATTTTATAGCCCTGTAAGTTGATGTCAGTTGCTCTATAAATTATTGTCTTGAGGCTTGAATCACAGAAATCCTTGTCTTATACTCTGAATCATGATTCTTTCATTGTTGCTTGTGTATTTTGTCTTTTATAATTCCTCCTCTCCAGTTTCATCTGTATGCTTTTCCTGTGTTCTCATCCCCTGTTTTCACATCCTTGGTCATTATATATGTACCTGCTCCACATAACTAAATCTGGTCACTCTTCAATCTAATTCACTGGTATAACTGTGCCTGCAGCACACAGAGCTATCTTAGCTGAGAGCAGGCAGCCCGGCAGCCGTGCCATTGGTAGGAAGGTTCCCAGACGTGGCTGGTTTACTAGACTGCTAGTTCAGGGTTTGGTTAGACACAGAATGCCTGTCATGAGGTAAGATTCTATTCCTTGGTATAAGACTGAGTAATAAAAATGAGGAGTTTCCTGAAGAATAAAGGGTGCAGGGGAAGGCTTAAAACCAGCAATCATGCCTGTGTTAAAAACAAGGATAGTCCGAAAAGTGAAGAGCAACCGCATTTTAACAAGATAAGAGCTATGTGTAGAATTCAACCCAGAGGAGTGGAATTCCTGCATTCACTCCAGGTTGAGCTCTGCTTCACCTGCCAGAGCACGGCTGTTCTTGGTTGAACAGCAAGGGAAGCATGTTGAATGATTGTAATGAATGGGGTAACACTGGATAAGGCAAGGTTCAAAATCAACCTTTCAAAATATCTTTGTTACTGTTCTTACATCTGTCTGTGATAAGTGTAAGACTATCTCTTTTTCACATGGAGTGCAGCAACCTCATCCGTGATGGAGAATTTACTGTAACCAACCAAAGAAATTACAGCATCTTGATTAACTTCCACTGTCCACTTGCAGGAATCACAGGTTGCTGCTGCAAAGTTTACAAAGAAGGTAGGTAAATGTGAAGACAAGAGAGTAGCAGTGGACAGGAAAGTATGGCCTGTTTCTTTTGCTGCTTTTTTTAAAGTCAGCTTGATTTTTTTTTTTTTTTCCAGTGGTTGGGAAGTGAGCTCTGCTGACCTTGTTTCTGCAAAGCAAACCAATATGAGTAAAGCTTTCCTTTATACATTTTCTAAAGCCCTTGAATCTTTAATTATGGTAATATAGTATAGGTACACTAGGCAGAATGGGTAGTTCTTGACAATGTCCTTTGGGTATTAATTTTTAATCAGCATTCCAGATGAATGGACATCAGGGACTAACAACATCTTGTTGTTTACATGCTGCCGAAAAAGCCCCTGAATTATTGATATTCTGATGGAATGACACTGAAACTTGTCAACAGGTCTATGGAACTGTGTTTAAAGTCTCGTGTTATTGTTTGTGTTTTATTTTGCAGGATAGTCATGCAACTCTGGGACGGCCTTTTTTCCTTTTCAGGGTATCTGAATCTCTTACTTAAAGAATCTAAATCATAGACAATGTGATGTGTTACAGTGTAGATGAACAGCTGTTTCCCTTCACAAATTCTTTCTGCACTTTTGAGTAGAGGCCAAATATTCTTTGTTTGAAAGATTAGGTGGCCATTTGTGTATAAATCTCTGGTTCCATTAAAAGATGACAAGATAATGAGATCTGGGATAGTAATGGATTAAATGCTTTATTTTTATTTGAAGAGGTGACTCTGCAAATGTTTTATCTTGAGCCAAATTATCCAAAGACAAATCATCCAAAGCAGCATGTGGCCTGTATCTCCAAGGTGCACTGATCCTAAATTTGTTAAATAAAATGTGTGTGGGCTGAATGTCCACTTGGTCTGAAAAGTCTTGCCGGAAAGATATGGCACACTGTAGCAGGGTGAAAAGCCAAAGCAGTATTATGGACATCATCATAATATCTTCCGTGTGTTTTATTTTTTTTCACCCATTGTCTTGCTGAACTATGGTATGGTCTAATTTTTTGTTTGACACACACTGATTAACACCAGATCAGTTTTTAGTAATTAAAAAGTTATAAAGTAGGTCATAGTAGGTAACCAGAGTCCCAGTTCAGCTGCAATTTGCATTTTGGCTCACTTCAAGTGTGTCTGGCCAGGTGCTTTCAGTGGTGCTATTTATATGCTCTTGCTTAGGCACCTGCATATAGTATCCCAGTGAATTGGGACCAAGACCCTTAATGAGAGCAATTAAAGCCAGAACGTTTAGTTGTTTGGCCAGAGGCTGAAGGAATATTTCTCAAATTCAAAGGCAAAACCCACCCTGCACAGATCCCCTGGTATTTGACCTCTTGTCCCTTTAAAGGAAATCTTACTGCAGCCTTCTTATGTACTCTGTCTGCATGACAGGAGATGTATTTTGGTGGGCACATAAATCTGGCATCTCATACTTCTGCCCAACCATATAATTTTTATATTTTTCAGCCTCGGAATGGAAGAACTGTTGAAAGCAGTGGTAAGTAGGCATCCAAAAGTGACAAGAACTTGTTCTGGGTTTTTATTAATAATGATCTTTATGACAGAAGGAGTTACTGCAACTTATTACAAACCTGGACTGTCACATGAGTGTTTCGTATTGTCACCAGGAGTTTTTTGGGAAGAAATGCATGGTTTTTCATGCTCAGAGACTTCCGGTATACGCTCTTGACAAGTACTGTTTTATTCTCTCTTTAAGGTTCAGTAAGGAGGAGCTTTCCTCCTCTGCAAAATTTTAGAAATGGTACAGCAATTATAAAGTTTAAAACCAGAAGTATAAATTGTACTTGGAACACAAAAGCTAGACTCCTCTCTGTTGCAAGAGACTATCAGTCACCTAATCTTACACAAGAGCCCACTAATACAGATCTCTGCATGCAGAGTTATCCTCACATCAGAATTAGGACCTGCCTTGGGGTAAACTAACTAGAGAGAGTAGGGGTGGGGATGTAAGGAAGGAAGATGGCGAGATCTAATAATATCACCTAGCACTTGCATATCCATCTTTGAACTTGTCTATTAAAGGTCTTAATGGGAAATGGACAAGACAGTCAATGTACATGTGTCCCCTCCTTCAGTCTCTCATCTTCCAACCTTTTATCCTACAATAAAGATCACTGTTTTCTGTTTTCAATGTAAGAATTTCTTCCAGCTGTTGATTGAAAGGGTTGGGGTTTAAGTCCACATGTGTGCAGGAAATATTTCATAGCTATGAAACCTTTAGGGGCAGGTAGTGCTGCCCAGATCTGTTTAGAGTAACTGGCAGCATGAGTTTTGTTGCAAAGCAGTTCAAAACCAATTAGATTAAACTTGCATGAAAGTACTTTATGCAGAGTACTCTGATGTTAGCAGAATTGCTGGACTATCAACTGCATATCACTGAAGTGCTGGTGTAGAAGCTACTATTTTGTAACCATGCCGTGGCCTTGCATACAGCAGTAAATCTTATCCACAGCTCAACCCCCTCAGCCAACCTGGCTGCAAGATGCACACCCTGCCTCTACACTTTAAAAGAAGGAAAGTGAAGTTAGGACATAGTGGAGAGAGAACTGTATGAAGAGGGAGGTTTCATGTTTGAGTACAAGTAACAGGTTAGGCACTTACCTGAACTTTCAGACTTTCATCCATCAAACTTCTGCTAGAACTTAAAGCTATTTCGTGTCTTAACTTTGAGAAGGACTAAGCATACAGAACTGAATACTAAGTCACATTCAGACCAACATCTCAACATAAAATATAATGTGTTAATTTGTTTCAGAATACCATGGAATATGAAGTTCATTGGTCGACTTACCAGTGCGAGGACTTGGTTTACATAAAGAAACTTCCCATTGCACTAGTTGTCTATTATGTGACTCAGTTGTCTGGATTTTGCTGTTCCATGTAATAAATTTGCAATCGTTAATCACTCTTGTCCTTTTTTTTGTTGAAGTGGGTACTAGACCTCATTGGGCTATAGTGCAGCATTGCATGGTTCCAACTGTATTCAAAGGAAATCAATCATCAGAATATCGACCATTTTCAAATCCAACAGTGCATTTTGTAGCATCTTCTTTAATGTGGTCATGAATTACCAGCTTGCCCTTTTGACTAAATAATATGTTTCCCTGCCATTTCACAATTTGCGTCCCAAACAGCATGATGAGATGTTAGAATCATCATTGATATTTTGATGACTTAATTCTTGTTTTTCATAACTAAGGTCTTGCGTGTGATAACTGCTGAATCCAAAGTACTTTGAAAGAAGGGGAACAAGTACTGCTGTTACACACAGGCACTATTTGGTCAGATGCTGTGTGTTTTCCAGCCTTGCCTTACTAGCTATCATAAAGCACAAATGAGTCACTTATGAGAGATATTCTGAACATCTGCCCTTTTTACTGAAATCATGTATTTAAACCTGTGGTCCAGCCAATTGTGCTTGCACTGTGTGCAGTGGGGTGATCTGTTCTGGTAGGTGAAGATATATATGGGCAGAAAACTTAAAGCAGCTACTTCCTTAGTAAGAAAAAAGCATAGTAAAAGCCAGGCTGGAGATACACATCAGGCTGGAATTCCTCAACACGGAGTCCCACAGTGTTGACTTCTTCAAGCCTTTTGTTTTTTCCCTTTCCTTCCTTGATTCCTCAGTCCTAGTACATGGCATGATCCCATCTCAGTTACACTGATACAACTGCATGCAAACTGTGGGAAGGCATGGGAATACCTGTGTCTTTAAAAATAAATCCTGAGAAACCTGGCACTTCTGGCCTGTTTCACCTCAAAGGCTAAGCTGAACAGTATCAAGTTTTACTCAGCTCTGCATAAATATTTGTATTGATTTTGGCCAGGATGCAGTTAATTTTCTTCACAGTAGTTTGTATGGTGCTGTGTTTTGGGTCTGTAACCAAAACACTGTTGATAATAGAGGCATGTTTTAGCTATTACTGAGTAGTGATTACAGAGTCAAGTCCTTTTCTGTTTCCTACACCACCCCACAAGTGAGCAGACTGGTGGGGTACAAGGAGCTTGGAGGGGACAGCTTACCCCAACTGACCCAAGGGATATTCCATACCATAGGATGTCATGCTCAGCATATACAGCTGGTTAAAGCAGGAGAGAGGGGGTCATTTGGCGTTAATGCTTTTGTCTTCCCAAGTCACTGTTAAACGTGACAGAGCCCTGCTTTGCTGGAGATGAACATTTGCATTGCTGATGGAAAGCAATGAATTCCTTGTTCTGCTTTGCTTTACCTATTAAACTGTCTTTATCTCAACCCATGAGTTTTCTCATTTTTACCCTTCCTTCTCTCCCCCATCTTGCTTGGGAGGGGGAACGAGTGAGCGGCTGTGTGGGCTGAGCTGTTGCTGGCCAGGGTTAACCCATAGCAATACTGTACCATGGGTAAATCACGATGTGCTCTCACAGTCAGCAGTGGCTTCCTTCACCCATGACAGGTTTCATGAATAACATCTATTTGGTCCTTGAAACTGGTTAAATAAGAAGAAGGTGGTTAAATAATAATAAGGTGGTAATTTGCAGGTAAGGACCCAGCTTAGGTTCCTCAGCCATATTTCTGTAGTAACTGTGGCTCCTCTGTAAAATGTACAGGAGAGCTCTTGTTCACTGTTCAGTGGGAACCCTTGCTTCTGGAGGAAAACAAATGTCACCTGTGGAATAGGAGCCATTAAGAGTATTGAAATGTAAATGTCATCCCTGGCCCAAAACTCATCCTGAACTGCAAAACCCACAGCAGAAATTGAGGAGCACAGTCAAGGGGGAGACAACAACAATTCAAAGCACAGAAAAAATACCTGCAAGAAAAGGAAGTTCCCATTGTCAGCAAAAGAGGCAAATAAAGAGTGACATGACAAGTTATGCAACTAATGAGTGTGCTTAGGAGAGTAAATCCAATGCTTATCCATCCTCTTGTAATAAGAAGGAGCAAGGAGGGAGAGTCAATTACACTGAGAGGCAATACATTTAAGCTGCAAAGGAGAACATTTTTTCTAACACTTAATCGACTCCCGAGACCAGTTGCCACAGCTTAGAGCATGTGGTTAGAGACAGCTCTGCCCGCTCTTGGGAAGACAGGTTTATCCAGGAGCACACACCTTCGTGCTATCTAGCTTTCCTCGAAAATCACTTCAGGCTCACCCAGGACCTCCTGTGTTAAAAGCCTGGCCTGCTCAAGCCAGGCTTAGCAAGGCATTTCTCTGCAGAGCACACAGCAAGGGACCTGGAAATGTATTTGCCAGTGGGGGAGCGAGTGCTGCCTGGCCTTACAACCTGCTGATCACCAAAAAGCCAGAGCAGGAAGCACAAGAGGAAAACCCTCTGAATAGTTTAACTCCATCCAGCAACTAAGCCCCACACAGCTGCTCACTCACTGCCCCCAGGTAAACTTGTGGGTTGAGATAGAGACAGTTTAGTAGGTATAGCGAAAGCCATGAGCACAAGCCAAGCAGAACAAGGAATTCATTCACTACTTCCCATGGGCAGGCAGGCAGGTGTTCAGCCATCTCCAGGACAGCAGGACTACATCATGTGTAAGGGTTATTTGGGGAGAAAAATGCCATCACCCTGAATATCCCCCTTTCTTCTTCCCTGTCCTGGGTTCAGCAGTAGCAGTCATTTTTCTCCTTCTTGGTAGCTGGTGCAGTGCAGTGTTTTGACTTTCAGCCTGGGAACAGAGCTGATAACAAGGATGTTTTGGTTTGGCCAAGGACTTTGTGAGCCTCATGCTCTGCCAGGGAGGAGGGGAAGCCGGGAGGAAGCAGAGACAGGACACCTGACCCAAACTGACCAAAGAGGTATTCCATACCACAGCACGTCATGCCCAGGATGTAACTGGGAGTTAACTGGAAGGGCTGGGAGACTGCGGGGTTGGAGAAAGTATCGGTTGGTGGTTCTTCGGGCTGGGGGAGGCAAGTTATCGGTTGGTTGGTGGTGAAATGTTGTATTTTCTTCCCTTGTTATCTCCTTTATCATTATTATCATTGGTGGTAGCAATAGTGATTTGTGTTATACCTTAGTTACTAAACTGTTCTTATCTCAACCCGTGGGAGTTACATTCTTTTCGATTCTCCTCTCCGTCCCTCCAGGAGTAGGGGGAGGGCAAGAAAGGGGGGAGTGAGTGAACGAGTTACCTGACTGGGTTTAAACCATGACATTCCCCAAGCTGTATATGCTGAGCATGATGCTGTATGGTGTGGGATATCCCTTGAGTCAGTTGGGGTCAGCTGTCCCAGCTGTGTCCCCTTCCTTGCTCCTCGTGCACCTCCAGCCTACTCACTGGTGGGGTGGTATGAGGAGAAGAAAAGGCCTTGACCCTGTGTAAGCCACTGCTCAACAATAACGAAAACATCCCTGTGTCATCAACACTGTTTCCAGCAGAAATACAAACTATGGAGATCCAAACAAATCCACAAATCCAAACAAATCCACTACGGAGAAAATCAGCTTTATCCCAGCCAAGACCAGCACATCTTCTCTAGTGCCTTGAACAGCCTCACTGCCTTCTCAGCTGCCACAGGGAAGAGCATACTTACTAAATATCCAGACAACAGCAAGCTGGTAGGGACGGCAAGCGCTGGAGGACAGTCAGCATTCAGAATGGTCTCGGCAAAGATTCATGTGGAAAAAACACGTATGGCTCATGGAGGATGTCAGGCAGGTATTACACGCACTGAAGAATAAGGAGTTGAAGCTTTGCAGCAAAGGGGATGTTTAGCTGTAGACAGTCAAATATCACAGTGTTGGGAAGAATGCAAAATTCTGATGTGGAATGAATGAGAAGCTGTAGAGACTATGACATGGGAGGTGTTGCACTGCTGATAATACAGAAGACTTCATGTAGAGAGTAGCACTGGAGAAGAAAGAGGGGGACCAACAGGAGAGAGCCCAGCAGAGAGCAAAGGCAGAGGTTTCATTCAGGAAAGCTGGTGTCCTGAATGAAGTAGGGCTGGTTTGCAAGAAGGAAAGTTTGAAAAGGGGAATGATAAAATATTTCATTTTAAGCTCACCTCTCCTGGCAGTATCCACCATGGCATGGGTGGGTACTACCAGGAAAGGTGAGCTTAAAATGAGGAAAGATTCACATTAAATCTGACTGTCAGAAGCACTGACTGATAGGCAGAGTTACCTTTTCTTGGTCATAAAAATTCATCAGGGGGACCAACACCTCACTAGGAATCTAAGGTTCAATAGTTCCAGCTCTGAAATAACTGCCGGCAGCATTTTCTCTCTTCAGTGTTACATCATGATGCAATATTTATTCCTAATTATGTTTCATTTAATGAAATAGTAGTACCGTTGTTTTGTTGAATATCTAGCATACTTCAGCTTGAAGTTGCTCTGGCTGCTTCTGGAGAAGTGAAGATATAATCTTAGCAAGTCCAGTACTTACATACTTTGCATACTTTTATCTCATGATAACACTTGTCACACTAACAGCTGTGACAAGCGGACCCTGACTCCCAGGGCTGCAGGGCAGACCTGGGAAGGACACTGTCCTTACTTATGGAATGTTTGTGTAACATGAGAGAAAACGTCTCAGGATGGAAAAGGAAGCATGTGGATTATGGAAAAGAATGGAAAAGATCATTTGTGCCCTGCAAACTCACACTGCACACAAACTGGAGTCCTGTGAAAATTCAATGAGAGAGTTCACATGACTGGCAATAAGAGCTGACTGACAGCCAGTGAAACAACTGTCATGTATGCATGACATGAAATACTATTTAGGAACTAAAACCACGTTAGCTGACCGCTTGTTTTCATGATTCTCAGCAAGTAATGAGAAAGAAGTAGCTGTAGAAATTGCAGCTCTACCTGCTGGAGACTTAAAACCATTTGCTTAACATAGCCAGTTGGGCAGAAGATATGTAACTGCTCGACAGGCTGGCCAAAAGCTGCCAGCATCCT